CAGATGCCGAGCAACACATCCGTGATAATTTCGATCTTCAGGGGGTTGAAGACCGCCTGAAGAAGTCTATCACGGCTGTGGAGGTTGTGGGAGCCGGTACAGAGGCCTCCAAACTGATTGCTCAGGGGCGACAGGCTCTAGACCAGTTTGCTTTAAAGCAACTAGAAGAAATCATGGAAGCTACTCGCAAGGGGGAAGTAAAAACAGAAGTAAGTGAAGAATCGATTGATTCTAATATCCAGCAGCTAAGAGAGGCCTTGGCTGCGGAAGAAAGAAAGAAAGAAGAAGTATCTCGAAGAAGAGAACAGGAACAACGAAGAGGACAAAGAGTTAAAGAGATCAGGCAAGTAATAGGAACAGAAGTCGGTGAACACATTGACATGTCACAAACGTTGGCTCAAATTGTGACATATCTTACCTTTCTAGAAGAAAAGATTGATAGACAGCAAAATCAGTTGGATGAAATCGCTGTTGGATTGAGAACAATTGCTAATATTGTGAAAGGTAAGAATCAGATTCAGGGAGAAGAAGAACAAGAAGAGAAGAAGGAGAAGAAAGAAGTAAAGAAATTGATGGGGGACGCAATAAAGTCTGCTGGTCCCGTGATAAAGACAAATGGAAATGGAAACGGATCCAACGGAAATGGATCAAGTCAACCATCTACTCCTCACTCTTCTCATTCTTCTAAGTCTACTCCTAAAGAAACTCCAGAAAAGACAAGCGCTCAGCCCGAAAAACCGAAGAAGAAAGAAAAGGTGAAGATGAAGTTGCCATTTACGTTTTGCAACAAGAAAGAAGAAAGTCTGTCGCTGTGGATTGTAGAAATCCAGACGTATGTGAGTACTCAAGTCGCGTTCACCACTTCTTGCGTGGGTGGTGAGGCCAAGCAATGGGTGTTGGCCGAGGCCAATGCTGCGGGATTCGAAGACATCGGTGAGTGGGCGAAGACTCTGACGCTGAAACAGTTCTTGGCGAAAACCAGGGACCGTTTTCTCGACAAGACGACAGCCGACAAGGCCTTTGACCAGTTGACGTCAATTGGTCAAAAGCATTGGACGTCAGTTGAGGCTTTGTCCCGAGAAGTTGACCGATTGTTGCAGGTTCCTGGATTGAACCTGCAGGACAGCCAAGTGCTGTACATCTATTCCTGTGCGTTGCCTGGGCCCATCCGGGGACACTTAGTCACTGAAGCGAAATCCGGTAAGTACAACTACAGGCAATTTCGTGACCTTGCCCAGCAAAGGGAACAGATGACTTCTCAAGTCAAGAATTCCTATGCAGCGGTAGTTAAATATGGAGGAGGAAGACAATACAATGGAAAACGAGTTCTCTGGCGACAGAAGCGCCAACTTGTCGTCTTCGATGACGACACAGTGGAAAAGTGGCCGAACGAGGAGAATGATAACAACAGTGACTCCGGGAAGGAGGAAGTCACTGCTGTTGTGGCCAATAAGGGAGGACCACCCAGGACAGGAGGGAAGAAACAAAGAGCGTTTCCATGGCACCCTGACATTGCTGATGGGAAGCCATGGGTCGAAATGGGTATGACTAGAAAGACTTGGCAGGAGCGCATGGATAATGCACAATGTCTCAAGTGCGGCACAGCAGGACATGTGATCGCCTACTGCCCTCATATCCGGAACCCAAAAGCGAACAGCCAGTAGGAGTAGCATCTGCTCCTACTGAGATTAAGGGTAAGAACGAACATACAGGTAAGGCGCCTACGACCCCTTCCTACCCTTCTTCTCAATTGGCAGAGGGTGATTCTTCCTTAGCCCATCATCCAGATCGCCCTGATATTGTCTTATGTTCTGTCTTTCTGGATGACTCCCTTGATGAGCTTGGTAACGAATTGCTAGCATTGCGTGGCTTATGGGCTCGAAAGGCGAAGACTAAGGGCGAGTTGTTGTTTGCAGATGTTGAGATCGCACGAACGCGAGTTGGTGCAATGTTGGACCCAGGATCAACGAGGTCCTACATCTCCGAGAAGGCAATCSGTAAGTTGCATCTCGGCATGAAGGTAAAAGACTTGTCTCTACCTATAACGTCTATGTTAGCAGACAAGAGTACGATCACTGTCTCCCAGTATGTTGATCGTATTAAGTGTCAGTTCCGAACGAGGGAAGGAAAGAAGATTGTGCATGAACTATCCTTCCTCAAGAAGATCGTATTAGCGAACATGAGTGTTGTGGGTAAGGCGAAATCGTGTAGTGGGTTGAAGTTTCGTCCTGTGAGGCGGTCGATGGACGGATCTTTACGGAGGAATGAGGCTATGGCTTCCATGATGAAGAGGAATATGGGGGGAGCCAGTGGGTCGCCTTGTCTAACCGATCGCGAGATTGGGTAGGTATCTGATAGGATTCTGTTGACCTGGACCCTGCCTGTTGCGTCAACGTATAGTATTCTCACCCAATTTCTGAAATTCGGGCCAATTCCCATCTTTTCCATACATGAATGTAGAAATTCCCAGTTGACCTGATCGTAGGCTTTCTCAAAATTGAAGAATAGTATTGCCGCCTTCATTCGTTTTTCCGTGATCTTTTGTGCTGCCTCATTTAGAGTCATTACATTGTCTAGTATGTACCGACCCGGGATGAATCCGGCTTGGTCGATGTGGAAGCAGCTGTCAGTTAATTTGGTGATTCTGTTTGCGAGGGCCTTGGCTAGGATTTTGTAGGGCGTGGTTAGTAGGGATATAGGTCTGTAGTTCTTCAAGCCTTCTTTGTCTCCCTTCTTGTAAAGCAGTGAGACCACGCTGGTACTCAGATTGGTTTGGAAGAAGTGGCACACCACAGGGACAGGGACATAGAGGAAAACAACTGAGATTATAATCTCAATAGCAAAGATATCTCTCCGCTTTCCTTGTTTTATAAGTAGTATCTGACAAAGACACACTTGACTCTGAGAGGGAAAGTGGTAGGGCAAGCTGACAGTCAATCCTCCTAATAAGGAGCAATCAATGCTGGTCAGGGTTCCTTCGGCCAGACGGAAGGAAGCGTGAGGGTGTTCACCATGTATTCCAATTTTGACTTGCCGGTGATAAGGAACCGCTCCCCAGAATGGATATGGAGCCAGGACCATAAGGACCTGCTTATTCAAAAAAAAAAAAAAAAAAAAAAAAATCCT